CCCCCCCCCAAAAAAAAAAGAGAATCAAAATTCAGTTATACACTGGTGCCAGTGGCTCACACTTGTGATCTTAGCTTCCTGGGAAACCAAGACTGTTGGGAGTTCAAGACCAATCAGGGCAGAAAAATGTGAGACCTCTTTTTTAGTGAAGTAAATGTAGCTACTATCTTACTTACTGAAAACCTAACACATGTGGATTGTTTCCAGGCCAGAAGTTAAGACTACCTCAAAACTAATAAGTAAAACTTAGGGCTGTAGGCACAGCTCAGTGGTAGAACATCTGCCAAGCAAGTATAAGGCTCTGAGTTCAAACCCCAATACCACCTTTCTCTGAAAAAAATCCTTTTTAGATATGCAAACTTTGCAATGCTGTCAGATACCAAAGTGGATGACACTGGAGCTCAGAAGACCAAGCTGAACGCACAAGATATAACTTGTAAAACATTACAACTTTTTTTTTCTTTTAATGGTTAATACTTTTCCAGTAATGTTATTTCAGTGTTAATTTTTGTTTGTTTGTTTCTGTCAGTCATGGGGCCTGAACTCTGGGCCTTGGCCTCAGCTCTTCAGCTCAAGGATAGCACTCTACCATTTGAGCCACAGCGCCACTTCCGGCTTTTTCTGCTTATGTGGTTCTGAGGAATTGAACCCAGGGCCTCATGCATGTGAGGCAAGCACTCGTAGCCACCTTCCCAGCCCCCCCACCTTTTTTTTTGTTGGTCGTGGGGCCTGAACTCTGGGCCTGGGTGCTGTCCCTCAGCTCTTCAGCTCAAAGCGAGCGCTCTACCACTTGAGCCACAGCACCACTTCCGGTTTTCTGGTGGTTTTTATTGGAGATAGGAGTCTCATGGTCTCTCCTGCCCAGGCTGGCTTTGAACCGCGATCCTCAGATCTCAGCCTCCTGAGTAGCTAGGATTACAGGCGTGAGCCATCAGCGCCTGGCTCCCTACTTTTTTTTTTAAAGTGCCAGTACTTGGTCTTGAAGTCAGGACCTGGGCACTGTCCCTTAGCTATTGTTTTTCAAGGCTGGCACTTTATCACTTGAACCACAGGTCTATGTCTAACTTTTTGTTGAGAACTGGAGATCAGCTATCATACATTTTCTACATGGACTGGCTTTTTATTTTTCATTTATTATTATTCAATTGTGGGGCTTGAACTCTGGGCCGGCTTTTTATTTTTTAATTTTTATTTATTTATTTTTTGGGTCTGGTCATGGGGCCTGAAATATGGGCCTGGGCACTGTACCTCAGCTCTTCAGCTCAAGGCTAGTGCTCTACCACTTGAGCCACAGCACCACTTCCGGCTTTTTTCTCTTTGCTTATGTGGTGCTGAGGAATCGAACCCAGGGCCTTAAGCATGCAAGGCAAGCACTCTACCACTGAGCCACCTTCCCAGATCCAATGGGCCCGCTTTTTAAACTGTGCTCTTCATATCTCAGCTTCCTGAGTAGCTAGGATTACAGGTATAAGCCCACCTTTCTGGCTGTAACCAATTATCATGGTGTTTGTCAATGCTGATTTTTAATTTCCATCATTCTCCTCCTACAATAATAATAATAATAATATGTCGGTCGTGGGGTTTGAACTCTGAATCAGTGCTGCCCTTGAGCTCTTCAGCTCAAGGCTCATGCTCTACCACTTGAGCCACAGCACTATTTCCGGTTTTCTGGTGGTTAATTGGAGATAAGAGTCTAAAGGAAGCTGGGCGCCGGTGGCTCACGCCTGCAATCCTAGCTACTCAGGAGGCTGAGATCTGAGGATCATAGTTCAAAGCCAGTCTGGGCAAAAAAGTCCATGAGACTCTGATCTCCAATAAACCACTAGAAAACTGGAAGTGGTGCTGTGGCTCAAGAGGTAGAATGCTCACCTTGAGCTGAAGAACTGAGGGACAGCGCCCAGGCCCAGAGTTCAAGCCCCACGACCACAAAAAAAAAAAAAAAAAAAAGTCTCAAGGACTTTCCTTGCCAGGGCTGGCTTTGAACTGCAATCCAGATCTCAGCCTCCTGAGTAGCTAGGATTACAGATGTGAGCCACCAGTACCTGGCCTTCCTCCTACAATTATTAATTGAAAGTCTGTAAGTAAAAAGCAGTCCTTTCTCTGTATTTTTTATTCGTATATATCAGTACTAGCTTGTGAATATTTATTTTATTCCACTGGTTTTAAGCCATTATTACTGTTTACTTCTCTTCAGGCTCAAATTGTCCCAGATTTGGTCACGTTCTTTCCTATTGCCTTCAATATTCTTTCTGTAGGTACCATTTACTTTTTGAGTACTTCCTTACTTTCTGTCTCCACAAGATATTCTAGCTTCATCTTGTATTTTCCTCAATGCTGAAACCACCAATGCTAAGGAGTCCAGGTTCCTTTCACTGGAGCTATACTAACACTGCAGCCATTAACTACGTGTAGTTTTAAATTTTTAAGTAAAATAAATTCAGTTTTCAGTCACATGAATCATATTTCAGGTGTCTCCATCCAAGTTCTAGAAGCAACACCATTCCATTAATAATGACCATTCTTGGCATCTACGTCTTGGTTTCTTAAAAGCAATCTCTAATCAGTGTTGACCAATAATGCCTTCACTGATGGGAAAATACTCTGTGTCTTCACTGTTCAACCTAGTAATCTCTAGCAACTGGATGGGGAGCTGGGGAGGGGGAAATGTGAGCAGAGATCAGATCTAGGGAGGCCTATCTTTTAGGATGGGAGCTGGAACATGTTTATATGGTGGTGAAAACCATCTAGAGGAGAGGGTAAAGCTGATGAAGCAGGAGAAAGGAGGCAGAGCTGAAGGACTGAGATTCCTAAAGTGGAAGAAGATGGATGTGGACTCCCAAGGCAGCGTTCACTGGACAAAGGGGTAACTTATACTGCTACAGTACACACAGTCCAAAAGATAGAGGCAAACAAGGTTCAGAAAAGGAAAAACAGTTTTACTTTTCCCACATGGTGGGAAAATCTTGTAGGTGTGTTTAAGAAGTAAAGATTCTAGGGCAAATCTAAGTGTTCATGTGACGCTGAAATTAAAATGTAATCAGGCTGTGATTTTTCTCAAGCAATACCCAGATACACATTAAATGCCTTCATATAAAGATAACTAAGAGGGATGAAGGGAAGAGGGATTAAGAGGACAGCTTAAGGAATCTTCAAGAAAATGCCTACGGTGACAGATCATGAAAAAAATCTCTAGGTAACCACCAAAAAGTCAGAAGTATGGCTCAAATGTGGCAAAGAATCAGCCCTGAGCAAAAAAGGTAAGAGTACTAGGTCCTCAGTTCAAGCCCCAGTACTGGGACTGCATTCATGTATACGTACACGCATACACACACATGCACACACTCTTATTCCTTTACACTGATATATTTAGGAATAATGGATCATAATGTATTCCATCCTTCTATCAAAGTTCTCAGAATTAAATAACTCGATACGTAGTATTAGATATGTAAATATTAGAGCTGGGTTTTCACAACTTGAGAGCTGGTTGGAACAGCAACAGGAGTTGGTCCCTTCCCTGAGGTATGAGGGTGTGGTAAAAGCAAGTGTTAGAGTGAAGCGCGCCTAAGAGGCTGACAACCTGGAGGAAGGAAGCTAGCACAGAGGACTGGAGTCTGGGTGATAACGATGACCAAGGTAGAAGAGATAAAAATGAATCCAAACCACATGGGATTCGATACATTTGGTCCTGGTAATCTCAAAGCAAGCATTCTTTTTTTGGGGGGAGGTGGGGGGGTCATGGGGCCTGAACTCTGGGCCTGGGCGCTGTCCCTCAGCATTTCAGCTCAAGGCTAGCGCTCTACCACTTGAGCCACAGCGTGTTCTGGTGGTTAACTGGAGATAAGACTCTGCCCGGGCTGGCTTTGAACTGTAATCCTCCGATTGCAACTTCCTGAGTAGCTAGGCTTACAAGGGTGAGCCACCATGTCCACCCTCAAAGCAAGCATTCTTGACTCCCCTCAGTCCCCCCCCCCCCCCCCCCCCCCCCCTCCCCCCCCCCCCGGGCTCGAAGGGTTTCTAAAGCTTGATGGAATGAGTTTCTTTTACAGGACTTTTTTCAAGAAACCCCTTCCAAGTCTCCACAGCCAAGTAGTTAAACATTCTTATCTGTGATCTTGTCATACCTGCATCCTTTAACCCACATTCAATAAAATTTGGTTTAAGCAATGAATGAATTGTATCCTAAAGTAGATGAGAAAAATAAAACTGAGTTATCAATTTAGTAAAGGAATGACATTATCAGAGTTTCATTTTTGAAATGAGTTTTTAAAACATTTAAAAATATGAAGTTGTCTTAAGAACACAAAATGGCAAATTATTTCTAGTTGATTTTGATAAAAGAAGTAATGCTTACTGTACAACAAGCTGCTGGCACACTGTTCCATTCTCTGTTATCAGTTCATTCAGTTTTAATTCAAGGTGAACTTTACCCTATGACAAAAAGAAAAAGTTACATACTGAGTAGTCTATTTTGCCAACAACATATGAAAGGATGATCTTTTAAAAATACTACCTATATTTATCTAATGACCACTAGCAACACACTAGCCTACACTAAGTACTTAAGTGATTAAAATCAACAACAAAGATCAAAATTCTGAAAGAGGGCTGGGAAGGTGGCTCAGTGGTAGAGTGCTTGCCTTGCATGCAAGAGGCCCTGGATTCGATTCCTCAGCACCACATAAGCAAAAAGAAAAAAGCCAAAAGTGGCGCTGTGGCTCAAGTGGTAGAGCTCTAGCCTTGAGCTGAAGAGCTGAGGGACAGCGCCCAAGCTCAGAGTTCAGGCCCCACAACCGGACCCCCCCAAAAAAATACAAACAAAATTCTGAAAGAAAATAGTCTATACCAAATATGTATTTAAATTTATGAATCTTGTGCTCTGTTCAGTGACCATCTCAATGATCACAAATTAAAAAGACAAGAACTTGTGTTTTAGGAAAATTTTAGCAAATTAAATTATAAAATGTAAGGTGCTTTATCAGAAAAGATAAATCAGCAGTAAGAACAGTGGCAATTTCACTAAAAGAAATCGTAACAATTCTAAATAAATAAAACTTAAAGCCAATGAGACTCAATTTGTTATTATTTACTTCTAGCAGCTAATGAAAATTTATGAGACATCTACTATGTTTTAGGAGGCTCCATGAGAGTGGACAGAAATCTGGATATGTTTAACATAGGATCACTCTCTCTCTCTTTTATTTTTTTAAAATTTTTTTTGTCAGTCCTGGGGCTTGAACTCTGGGCCTGGGCCCTGTACCTCAGATCTTCAGCTCAAGGCAAGCACTCTACCACTTGAGCTACAGCGCCACTTCCGGTTTTCTGGTGGTTTATTGGAGATAGGAGTCTCACCATCTCTCCTGCCCGGGCTGGCTTTCAACCGCTATCCTCAGATCTCAGCCTCCTGAGTAGCTGGGATGATCTACTCAGGCATGAGCCACTGGTGCCTGGCTAAGATAGGGTTACTATTTACAGGAAGCTCACAATGTGCCTGGGAGAAAATAGACCAAACATATGGTCAAGAACATGGGTGGAAAGATGAAAATAAAATAAAGGCATGTTTCCTTATGTAGGTATTAAAAAATAGTTTTAAGAACAGTTAAGTTTGGCCTGGGAATGTGGCTTAGTGGTAGAGTGCTTGCCTAGTATGTGTGAGGTCCTGGTTCTATTCCTTGGTATGATATAAACAAAAAATAAATTAAAAGGAAAAAAACCACCACACTGCCTATGTGCATTGATCATATTAAATAATATTTATCAAAATGAACTCCAGGAAATGAAAACATTTAATTTAAAAAAAGTTAAGTTTGAACTGGGTGCCAGTGGCTCACATCTGGAATCCTAGCTACTCAGGAGGCTGAGATCTGAGGATCACAGTTCAAAGCCAGCCCACGCAGGAAACTCCGTGAGACTCTTATCTCCAATAAACCACTCAGAAAACCAGAAGTGGCACTGTGGTTTAAGTGGTAGAGCGTTCGCCTTGAACTGAAGAGCTGAGGTATAGTGCCCAGGCCCAGAGTTCAAGCCCCATGACTGATCAAAAAAAAAAAAAGTAGGGCTGGGAAGGTGGCTCAGTGGTAGAGCGCTTGTCTTGCATGCCTGAGGCCCTGGGTTCGATTCCTCAGCACCACATAAGCGAAAAGAAAAAAGCCGGAAGTGGCGCTGTGGCTCAAGTGGTAGAGCGCTAGCCTTGAGCTGAAGAGCTGAGGGACAGCACCCAGGCCCAGAGTTCAGGCCCCATGACCAGACCCCCCCCCACCCCCCAAATAAAAGTAATAATGTTAGATTCACTTGCTCAAATATATTTGATAAAAAGACCATTTCTTAAAAAAAAAAAAAAAAGGAGGGAGGGTGCTAGATGACCTCCACTCAGGTGACAAGTGGAGAACATCAGGGGTCTGATGTCTGGTGATCGTCAACTGTTAGGTTTTATTATCTAGTCACTGTCTTCTTCATAACAGCCTATCAGACATCCTTTCCAAGAATCTAACCTGAATCACCATGGCTATTTTAAGGGACGTGTCATACAAGAATGGCTCTGAGGCCTACTAGCTACCAAGCCCAGGGTTGGATGGCTAATCGGTGAAGAGCAATTGTGGCAGATCTTAGTTACAAAGGGGCATGAGAAAGTTAAGCTTTAAATCAACAAAGGTATCACTGAGCAACAGCTGTTAGTAGAAATGGAACTAAGTTAAGCCATTAGTCCATTAAAAATCTAAGTATAGGACAGAGAATGTGGCTCAGTGGTAGAGTGCTTGCTTAGCATGCATGAAGCTCTGGGTTCGATTCCTAAGTATGATATACACAGAAAAAGCTAGAAGTGGCACTGTGGCTCAAGTGGCAGAGTGCCTGCCTTGAGCAAAAGCAGCTCAGGTAGTGCCCAAGCCCTGTGTTCAAGCCCCAGGACGGGCAAAAAAATAAAAAATCATGTTTTCTGTCATAAAGCACTTGTATAGTTACTTGGCTTGGAAGGGAGCTTAGACAGCTGTACAACCACTCAGATCACAAAGCCACTTTTCTATTTTAAAATGTACATACTTTCTAGTAGAAATTGTATGCTAATGAAGTACTTCCAACTGTTTCTCAGGAAATATCTAAGATCTTAATTTCTAAAACTATAAAAATAGAGTAGGAAAAAGTATAATCATTTTAGTCACAACTAAAATCATAATACTGTCAAATCTAGCAAAAGATATTCAGTGGTATTCTACCAGGATCATTATCACTGAGTCAGAGCCTAACCAATATGTTAATTACTTCCACTGATAGGTAACAGAGTATTCTTTTTTTTTTTTTTCTTTGTCAGTCGTGGGGCTTGAACTCTGGGCTTGGGTTCTGTCCCTCAGCACTCTACCACTGAGCTACCTTCCCAGCCCCCAGAGTATTCTTTCAATATTAGTTAATATTAACCTGATTAAGAAAAGAGTACAGACAAGGCTAACACAAAACATACTACTAGTGTGTAACACTAACATAAGGAAATTATAATTTTAAAATCATAAAACATTACCTTATTACCTTATTATATACTTTAATATAGAAATATGTACATGATAGTAAGGAAACTAATTACAAAATAGGTATGTAATATAATGTTCATTTGAGAAAAGCAGCATGTATATAAGTTACTACAAGAGCACCTATCAAAATATTGATACATTTATTACTCAGGTTGGTAGATTTGAGAAAATTTCCTTTTTGATGTTCTCCAATTTCAAAGCTGTACTACCACTGTAGAATTGTCAAAGTCTCTACTATTGTATTTCTTTTCTCTTCTTTTCTAAGTCATGGGGCCTGAACTCTGGGCCTGGGCGCTGTCCCTCAGCTCTTCAGATCAAGGCTAGTGCTCTACCACTTGAGCCACAGCGCCACTTCTGGCTTTGTCTGCTTATGTGGTGCTGAGGAATCCAACCCACGGCCTCATGCATGCAAGGCAAGCACTCTACCACTGAGCCACTTTCCCAGCTCCTATTGTATTTCTTTCATGAAAAAAAATGACCAAAAGCTGAAAATTTATTGAAGCTGATTTTTTCCCCCATTAGTACACTGTATCTGTGGACATTTCAGAAAAATCCAATTTTTGCACAACACTTCAATTTTGCTTGTAGCTGTCATTTTATAGAATTAGACTGTAGTAATACAAGTCTTCTCCTCTAGAGGCCTGGTGCAGTGGTTCATGCTTGCTCTCATAGCTGCTCAGGGGCAGAGATAAGAACTGTAATTTGAGACTAGTCTGGGGGAAAAGCTATTGAGATCCCATCTCAACACAAAAGCTACGGGTGGTGTGTGCACCTGTCACTCCATCTACTTGCAAGAGGGAGGAGAGATAGGCCCCAAGTGGCATGGGCAAAAATGTAAGACCTTATCCCCCAAACAACAAAAACAAAAGGGGCTAAGGGTATGGCTCAAGCCCTGAGTTCAAACCCCAGTAAGGAAGGCGGTAGAGAGGGAGGGACAATGAGGTAAAAAATGCAGCAGGTAAGTTACAACTATCAAATGAGTTAATAATTTAGAATAAAAATTACTGACATGAAGGTGAACTGAACAGCAGATTAGCTACAGCTGAAGAAAAGCAATGGCAAAATGGGATGATAAATCAGTCAGCAGAAAGTACTCAGGATGTAGCACAGGGAAGGAAGACCATGAGACATATGAGACATGGTGAAGGAGTCTATGATTTATGGAACTGGAATCCCAGTAGACACACAATAGATTGGGGTGGGGGGGGGGAGTGGTGAGGAAGAAGGAGGGATTAGATGAAGATAACTTCTTGGAATTTTCCCAAACTGATGAAAGACATCAAGCCGCTCTTAGGAACATGGAAGTAGAATAAATATAAAGGAAACTATCTAGCAGTAGGAAGACAGCTAAGAACAGGATAAAAAAGAAAAATCCTAAAAGCAACTGCAGAAAACAGACACTACCAACAAAGAAGGAATCCAAGACCATGGACATGGAAGCGCTTTAGGTTTGATGAGAAATGTGACATAATTTGGTCTGCAGCTGGTTTATTATTCTGTTTCCTAAGGGAGGTCCAAGGATAGTACAAGTATTTGGGGTGACACATGCCAATTAATGTAAACTTAGTATATCAAACACCTACTAATCATATCCTAACCCCTATGGTAACATGCCTCCTGATGTTCCAAAATGTTCCGCTCTACAATGACTCTAAGTCCAACCATATCAAATTCAGACTTCAGTGTGCATCTGAAGTCCAGCCAGATTCTGTAAAATTCTGGGTCACATCTTGCAGAGTGAGTAGGCTGCTTGGAGGATATGGCATTTTTCAGTTGTTAGTAAGAGGGTGCATTAGAGAGAGAAACAGGAAGAGACTGTCTCAAGAAACATATGAAAGAATGCATGATATCTTCAAATGGCCTTTTCTCTTCATTTTGCATATAAAGTTATTAAAAACGAGAGGGAGATAG